GTCATCATTAGCATTGTTCCTGCTCTGATCAGGTGATAGTTGCTGCAGCCACAGGAGGGGTTGAAGCATACCCTTCTTCAGTTTGCTCTCCTGTTTCCTTGGTTGTGTGTGGACTGAGGTGTGCTTTTAGGGAGAGCTACATTCACAGTGATAAATGAAGCCGTGTTTGAGACCAGGCTGTTTCCCAGAGATGTTTTGCTTGTTACACACTAAAACAGGCAAGCCTATTTGCAGCAAATGATGCCTGTGCTGAACCAGTGTTATCAAAGAAAGAATCCATGTAGTCTTTTTTTCAACTACACCCATAAGCACCAAAGCCAAAATACAGCGTCAGAAGGAAGATAGGTGGGTTCAGAAGCCATTGGCACACTTAGATATTAGTCCTGTTCACCCATAGGAAGATGAGGAGATTAAATGCAGTAAATGGCACCTGCATTTTAAAATAAATGGAATCATAATATACTTACAGAGATGGGCATGCACTATAGCTTGAGCAGATATGATACAAGAAACAGTGTGTCTGTCCTTCATATCAGGTACCAGTGTGTGTGTGTGTGTGTGTGTGTGTGTGTGTTTAGTACATATCTGAGCAATTAGTGTATTGTTTTTGCTATAACAGTTTGTCAACTTTTGTGTTTTATCAAAAATAAAGTTATATAATTCATATGGTTTATTTACTTATGCTAAAAATATATTTGTGAGATTTAATATTAATGTTAGATTCAGTAGTCATTTCCTTTTCATTTCACTCAATCATTTCATGTAATTGTATGATAAGGCTACAATCTATTAATACCCATTGCATGACAAGACCTTAATTTTTTTAAATCCTTGTGTCTTTGATGGACTTTCTTCTTCTTTTTTATTAATGTATTTTTTTTACATTCCAACCCCAGTTTCCCCTCCCTTCTCTCCTCCCACTACCCCTGTTCCCTCTCCTCCCATCTGCTCCTCAGACAGGGTAAGGCTGATAGACTTTTTCTTAATCATTAGGACTTTTGAGAATCATACTCTTAAGATGATTTGTCTATTTCTTAGTCTACAAGTTTGTGGATATTCGCAGAAATATTCTTTGATGGAAAATTCTGGATTCCAAATTGTAGATATAAAAAACACTAGTACACAGTTCCAAATTGTTTTTACAAAACCAGTGCATGTGTTGGACAGATAGATCCATTGGTAAAGTGCTTGTCGTGCAAGCATGAAAGCCTGAGTTGGATCCCCAGAACCCTTGTAAAGAATGTTGAGCAAAGGGGCACGTGCTTGTAATCCCAGCACCATAGAGGAGAGTACAAACAGAACCCCAGGGCTTTCCAGCCAGGCAGCCTAGCATAATCAACAAGTTCCAATGTGAGAGCAGCTCAAAAACAAGGTGAATGCTTCCCTGAGGAATAACCGAGGTTGTCCATGTGTATACATACGCATTCACACCTGCACACATGTGTGTATCCACACACACACACACACACACACCTAAGGTTGCAATGATATATACATTATATAACTGATTGTTCACATTGCTTTAAGAATCATCTATACTTGATGTTTTCATTATGGACCTTTAGCTATTTGTTTATTATGTATCTCTTACAATTTGGTTCTTAAATGTCCACTCGGAAACTACTGAAGGCTTGGTTCCCCAGCTGATGGTACGGTTAAGTACGCAGTGATGGTACCATCAGAGTGGGATCTCATTGGAGGAAAGATGCCATCGAGAGCATGTGTTTAAAACATATATTGGGACTTGGCTCATTCATCTCTGTGTCTTTGTTTCTTGATGACCATGTAGCAGCCAGCTTTCATTTCTCCCATGGTTCTGCCATGATATAGTGCTTCAACCATAAATCTAAAAGCTGCAAGGCAAAGCAATTATGAGCTTAAACTTCAGAAACTATGAGCTAAAATAGGCATTTCCTTCTAAGTTGTTTATCTTATTTTGTCACAGGCATGGACTGCTGACTAACAGAGTAGCTATTTAGTGTTTTCTCCTTGAAGACTTAATTTGATTTTCCTTGAAGACTAATGGGTTGACCGCCCATACATTCATTGGACATGCAGAGTTCTCTTTTATGCGATGCTAATCATGTCTTAAGTTATTTTGGAATTGTTTGCCTTTTTCTTATTTCTTCATTGATGCCTTTGTTGATTTCATGCCTTACCAGTGTCTTCTTCTATACTGTGGCCTACCTTGTCCCTCTCTTAATGTTTTCCCATTTTTATTGTCACAGATTTATTATGCATAATGTTGGATTTCATATAGATAATTTCTTGCAAGTCTGTCATGTACTTTGACCCTGTTAGGAAGCACAAGAGGGAGAGACCCTTGTTATGCCCAATGTAAAAAGAGCCCCCACAAAGACAGAGGAAAATGAAAAACACAGGTAAGAAAAGCACGGAGTCATGATCCAAGTGATATGGGCAGTTCTACAGGTTCAAAAATGCTAGGAGGTAGATTTCCTCTGTTTCTCTGGACGGGAACACAATCATAACAACTCCTGGATTTGAACCCATGGCATCAAATTTGGTTTCAGACTTCACAACTAGAAGATAACACTGCTGTGCTGTTTCAGTCACAAAGCTGGCGGTGTTTCTTTGCAAGAGTAAGGAAGCAAGTGCATATTTCCAGTCCCACGGTGTCTGAACTTGACATTCCTATACGACTTTTCTAATGGCTCCTGTTTAATTCTTGAAGCTAAGATGTTTTATTTCAGAGTTGGGCTTAGAATCTGAAAGTAATTTCTCTTGGAAGGAATGTGATTACAGTCTAAGAGTACAATCTCTAGGTGTGTCAAAAGGAGAACTTCGAAGAGCAATTGATGCTCATGTAATTTTCTATACATAGAATGAAAATGCATTTCAAAGAACACACAACTTTAAAGAACACAACAATACAATAAAAGGAATTAAGTTTGTGTTCATAGAGTTCAGTCAAAACCTTTGTGGGATTATCCTCTAGGCTTCAGGTTCTCCATTTCTATGGTATGAAATATTACTGAATCTATATATAAGGAACAAAATTTGGTCCAGTGAACTCCCTCATCTGTGTCCTTAAACAAAAACCAAAATCCAATAAATTTCTGGCCTAAGACCTGTCTCTCTCTGAAGGTCTGTTGCACATGGAGACTTTCTAGGTATATATCTGAGAAGATCACATATATCCTGTGCTGTGACCCCATGAGGTAGTGTGTAGGTGTGTTATATTGTTCCCAGGGAAGTAAACCTGGCCGTTCAAGTGTGTTTCTTTTCATTAATCACTCTTTCCGATAACAGTGTTAACTAGTACATTACGAAGTTCCCCATTGTTTATGGGGTTTGGGGTTTCCCTGTCAGGTCCATGTTCATATATACCATGGCTTCTAATGTCTCTCTTTCCCTCTTCACCCCTCTCTTTTTCTTCACAGTGTTGGTACCAGAACCCAGGCTTTCATTTCCCTGCACTGATTTGTTTTTCCCTTTCCAAATCAGGAAGTTATTTTTATTCATTAGGTGTCCTGGAGATGATAGAGAATCAAAGGCTGGCAGCATGACTGCTTGTTACCTTGAGTCCTGGGATTTGTCACTCCTTTCTTTCCTGAATAATGTTTTCATCTAGAAACAAATTGTCTCTCTATGTCTGAGTGTAGGGGAGATTTAGACTGTTTCATGGGGCATGATTTATTCCTATTTGACTATTTGTGATCAGTGACAAGAAGTATGAGAAAATAAACAATGACACTTCCATGACATGAGCAAAAGCTTTCTAGTGTAACTCCTCAAATCAAAATCCCAGGACAGTAGCAGGAACATGTGAATCACCAATAGGGTTTGAAGGGGCTAACCAGTTGAGACAATAGAGTTCACATCATTTTAGGAGGGTTCTTAAAACTGTTGCGTGTCTTAAGTGACTGGTGGTGACCAAGATGTGTGAAAAGAACTCTGTGAATAAAGATGATCTGAAAATGAAAGGAACTGGTATTTTCGTTGCCAGAGAAGAACCCGAAACACAGAGATTTGTAATGCTCAAGCCCCAGTGTTCTAGATACTTAGACTGAGTTGTACCTGTAATTATGTTAGCTCCAGAATCAGAAATCCCCGGACCTCATTCTATCTATCCCTAGCTACCTGGTTTGCATTGGGCCACTTACACATTGCAGGTAAGAACAGCTGCTGTGAGTTCATGAGAACAATGGCCATGTCATGTGCAGTATACAGTGTTTCAGAGCATTCTCCAAATCCTTCTACCATGATGCTCCCTGACCCTTTGCAGTGGAGTAGGAGAGGTCTACAGATGCTCCATTTAGGGACAAGCATCCATAGTCAGTCGTTTTCAGCATTTTTAGAGTGTCTCTACACACTCTTACTCCATATAAGGTCAAGCATACAAGGCCAAGCAATCATGTACTGAATCCCTGAAGCCACATGTTAGAAGAAATCTTTCATTCATTAAGTTGTTCTTTCACTTATTTTATTCACAGGGGAGACGTTTTGATTAATGCACTGAATCCAATGCAATGAATTAAATTACTTAGATCAGAAAACATAATGTGAAAAACAAATGGAAAATGAATCAAACATAATATGAGAAGTAGAATAAAGAAGACTTTATTAGAATAGCAATGGGTGGTGTCTCTTTAGCTGGAGAGACAATACAAAGTTGTCATGATGGGTCACAAGATGAGTCATAAAAACTGTGAATACACTGAAGAGTAATGGTGGGTACTTATCATTTCAAAGATGCAATACGATAGTTGTGAATTGTTTTTGTTTTTTACTTTTTAACTTAGTAAAGGAATGGTTTCTGTCCGTGCTAAGACTATGAATCCAGATCACAACAGATGAAGACAGACAAGGAAATGAAGGTAACATCAAAATGGGTGAGATGGCAGTCACGGTGCTGGTCACAGGCCTGTTAGCAGGAAGACTGGTAATTTGATGATGGCAGAACGAAGGCAGAGAGTTTGGCATAAAGTAAAGCTCCAGCAGGTCTGAGGATCAATTATTCTATTCCAGTAGTGGCTTCATCAGCAACCGCAGGGCTCGCAGCAGCTGGACCCACAGCCTTGGGACAGGCAGCCAGGCACACAGACACATGTGGGCTGGTAGCAAGTCCTGGTGCAGGTCACAGGTCCAGAGCAAGCTGGCTGGCAGCACAGGTCGAGGCAGAATGGCTTGCAGCAGGGTTTGCAGCAGGGCTTGCAGCAGGGCTGGCAGCAGGGCTGGCAACAGCTGGAGATACAGCACCTGGGCTGGCAGCAGCTGGACTCACAGCAGCTGGGCTGGCAACAGCTGGGTTGGCAGCAGCTGGGCTGGCAACAGCTGGGCTGGCAGCAGGGCTGACAACAGCTGGACACACAGCAGCAGGGCTGGCAGCAGGGTGTGCGGCAGCAGCTGCTCACACAGCTTGGCTGGAAGCAGGTCCTGCAGCAGGTGGTTTGACAGCAAGGCTGGCAGCAGCTGGAGCCACAGCAGCTGGACTGGCAGCTGGGCTGGCAGCAGCTGGTCACGCAGCTTGGTCTCCAGCAGGTGGTCCTGCAGCTGGTGGTCCTGCAGCAGGTAGGCTGGCAGCAAGGGGAGCAGCAGGAGTTGGTCATGGTGTTGGATGTGGAGGGAGAGGTTTTTCTGTTCACAGGGGTTCTTGAGATTATGACAACTGTGTCAGTCCTGGGGCTTTTATACCCTGGACATGCCATGAAGGGACCAATAAGAAGGACTTTTCCTTGTTTGTTTTCTGTTGTTCAAAAAGAAATTCTCACAGGAGGAAGTTGCTCTTTAAGTATTGCAATCTTTTGAAAATTATGCTGAAAGTAATTAATTGTGGGTATTTTTGGCATCGTTGCCACCATTTCTTTTCTGAGCATTCTCTGATCATGTGATGGCTCTGTGGGCACGGGAGGAGCTGACAATTCTTTTTTCTTTGGTTCATATATTGTGCTGGTTCAGACTGGGAAGTATTTGAGAAGAGGACTATGATGCTGATGTGTTCACAGTGTTAAATTCAGTACTTGCCTGAGTTCAAATCTACTCATTATAACTGCCTGCTTATTCCAGACTATAGCAGTCATGTTTATTTGTAGCAAGCATGGTCACTGTCATATTAGCTTTATGAAAGGAGGCATGGGTCTTTTGAGCCTGAGAATCTAAACCAAATGCAAGGATAGTGGCAAATGGACACGGGGATTCACGAGTGTCAATCAATTTAGATCCTAACCTTACTTATCATAATAATCAGTACCCTTTTGAAGGCATACCAACATGAATATAGCCTTCATAAATGAGAAAACAATATGACTCCACAAATAACTTTTAAAAAGGAAATTTAATCATGGAATGCTTTCAGAGAAGTGTGTGCTTTTTAATATATAGTTCAACAAAATATGACAAAGCTATGGTTCATGTCAGGAAATCGTGAGTGTACCTGTAGTAGCTGTCTTCATGATGTTTTTTCCTCATCATTATTTTTTCCTCCCCTATAGGACAAATAGTCTGCTGACTTATAATCGCATAGCTTTGCCAATTATGAAATTTTACCCAAATTGAAATGTCATCTCATATATTTTTCATTTTTGTTGCCCCAAATTATGTTAGAATTACTTTCTTTGTTGAATATGGTGGTTGCTTATCCCCTTTTCATACATTTGATTATGATCATTTTAATGATTTATTTATTTGTATTGTGTATGAGTATTATCCTGCATCTGTGTATGTGTATGTGTACCAGAAACCAGACACCAGCCCCTGGGGCTGAAGTTACAAACAGTTGTCAAGCATTATGTGTGCTCAGGGAATTGAAACCAGGTCCTCTGGAAGAGCAGCTAGTTCTGAACCATCCCTCCAGATCTTACTGTGTGATATTTTAGCTTATTAATTCATGTGTTATCTGATGGATAACTTGTGTTATCTAATGGAAAATATTCATGCTGTCATGAATATTTTTGTCAGTGCTTGGTTCACTTGAATGAGTATTCCTGTGAAAATATCTCCACATATTCTTGTAGTGAAGTTTTTGGATTACAAGTTATGCATTATGGTCAACGTTTGTAAATACTTGCATATAACTTACCATTTTTATTGCTTTATGACTTAAATTTTTATTATATTGATTTGTGTGTGTACGTGTGTGTGTGTGTGTGTGTGTGTGTGTGTGTGTGTGTGTGTGTGTGTGTCCATGCCTGAGTCTGTTTTCTCCTTTCACTATGTGGGTCCCAGGGATTGAACTCAGATTGACAATCATTTACTTATCCCAGTGGACCACTCAGTGCTTTCTGTTCTAATACCTGGTGTTTTCACTGTGGGGTCCGAAGCATTTTTATTATCTGTATAATTAGTATATCTCATTATAATTTTCATTTTAATTCCATAATATTAATGAGTTGAATTTAAATATGTATGTTCTTTAGACTTTTGCATTTCTCATATGTAAGGCACTAGCATGTCCTCAGTTTGTTTATGGTGGATTATCTTTTAAAAATTCTTCATTGAAGTTCTTTAAATATCCTAGATATTAGCCTATGTTCATTTTGTCATTTTTCTTTTCTATGCTGTTGCTTGTCTTTTCCTCCTTCAATTGTAGTGCTGTCTGGTCAATGAATCTTTCCCATGGCATTTATACACCTTTCTATTTCTTATTCAGTGACTCCTAAGACCATGTAGATATAATCTTATACTTAATCAAAAGGTGCCATTGTCTTGCCACTTACTCAGAATTTTTAATTTACCCATGTACTCTAAAGTTTTAGAATTACATTTCCATTTAAAGTACCTTGACCATATTTATTTCTCCTTAACACTATCTTGTTTGTTGTCTTTCATTTCAGTGGTCCCTTGCCTCCTTCTTTCAAGCATTAAGTAATCTAGCTCTCCACATGGGAGAAGACATGTGATGTTAGATTTTCTTGCTTATTTCACTTAACATTATAATCTCCAGGCCTATCCATTCTCTTCCAGGGTTGAATAATGCTCCAAACACTCATCATTGTATGTATATACCACATTTTCTCCATCCATTCATCTGTTGATGGGCTCCTAGGCTGAACCCATGGTTTCGCTATTGTGGCTGGTGCTACAGTAAACATGTTAATCCTGTTGACATAATCACATATGGCAAACCTTATCTCTTGGATATAAGTAATTACTTCATCAAAGATGAAATGCCATTTTTACGATATCATCTGAGTTCTGGAATCTAATGCCTTCATCATCATTAAATTTCTCAAATGTTTTAATTTCCATTATAAAACCTTCTGTTTTGGTTTGGTATGTATTCCAAGTCAGTAGTGTTTTCCTACATTGTGTCTTGTCTACAACCTACTCTATTATTCATAGCAAATATTTCATTTCGTTTTGTTTAATGATCTTTTTCTATAAGAAATGAAGAATTAAACATCATAATTTTACAACACAAAAAACTTGATCTAAGCCAGGCAGTGGTGGCACATGCCTTTAATCCCAGCACTCGGAGGCAGAGGCAGGTGGATTTCTGTGAGTTCGAGACCAGCCTGGTCTACAAGAGCTAGTTCCAAGACAGCCTCCAAAGCCACAGGGAAACCCTGTCTTGAAAAACCAAAAACCAAAAAACACTTAGTCTATAAATGAAATTAATGGTGTAGTGATAATCACTACATCAATGACATAGTGTCACAAGGAAAGGTGTGGTTCCTTAAATTCAACACCCAATTCTAGACATGCTCAGGTTTCTGTGGTGTTGGAGTGAGGGACTTTTCAGGTTCTGACTTTTCGATTTAGACAGACTCATTAGGGGGTCAGCATGTTTCTAAGAGTTGTCAATGAACATTCCAACAGCTGGTTCTGAGAGAATGCTCAACAAGTAAACAAGGATGGTTACCTTTATGCACAGCCTTGCAAATCTTAACATTCTCAGTTCCATAACTTCAAAATAGTCTTCATTTGTATGGGAGTATTTTGACACATGCCATTTCAATAGAAATAGATATATTATACCTATTTTGCTCTTTATTTCTCCCCACCATGACTTCTGAACACATCATGGTTCTTCCTGTGAGAAGAATAATGGTCCCTAAGAGATAGTTGAGTCCTATTCTATGACTGTGCCATCCTCCATGGAAAAGGGGTGTTGAGGACATGATTAAGAATCTCAAGAGGGAGAGTTGTTCTGGACTATTTGTAGGTACTCAGTGTAAACACGGGCTCCTGATAAGGAGAGGTGGCAATGGAAGACGTGGGAAAAAATAACACAGGGTCATGATGCAAGGAGGGTGGGCAGCCCTCAAAGTTGGGAAATGCCAACTATTGCTTATAGAAAACCTGAAGTCTCCCCAAAAATCCAACACTTGGTTTCAAGCTCATTGATGATGAATTTTGACTTCTGACTTCCAGAACTGGGAGATAATAAATTTGTGTTGTTTAAGCCACTAAATAGGTGGTGATTCATTGCAAGGGTCACAAAACTGAAAACAAATTTCCAATCCTACAATGCCTGAACTCTAATGACTTCCTATATGACCATACTAATGCCTTTCTTTTTACCTTTTTAAAAAAACATTTAAATTAAAAACAATCTTATTTTACATGCCAATCCCAGTTCCCTGTCCCTCCCACCCTCCCATGACCCCCCATACCCTATCCTACCCCCATCCACTCCCCAGGGAGGGTGAGGCCTCCCATGGGGATCATGAAAGTCTGTCATATCATTTGGGGCAGGGCCTAGGCCCTCCGCTGTGTATCTAGGCTAAGAGAGTGTCCTTCCATGGGAAATGGGCTGCCAAAGCCAATTTGTGCACTAGGGATAAATACTGGTTCCACGACCATAGGCCTCATAGACTGTCCAGGCCTCCCAACTGACACCCACATTCAGGGAGCCTGGTTCAGTCTTATGCTGGTTCCCCAGCTGTTAGACTGGGGTCCAAGAGTTCTCAGTTGCTCAGGTTAGCTGTTTATGTGGGTTTCCCCAGCCTGGTTTTAACACCTTTGCCCACCATGCTTCCCTCTCTACAACTGGATTCCAGGAGTTCGGCTTAATGCTTAGTTGAGGATCTCTGTTTCTGCTTCTATCAGCTACTGCATGAAGGCTCTATGATGGCATTTAAGGTAGTCTTCAATCTCATTATAGTAGAAAGGCATTTATGGTAGCCTCTCCACTACAGCTTAGATTCTATAGTTTTTAAAATTAAACTGCCTATACTATCCTAGAGTTTGCTGTTTTCTCTTTGAAAACCATAAGCTAAATCTAGAAGTTGAATTTCTACACTGTGTGTTAAAGAGAGAATTACAGGAAGTGATTACATTCAGTGCTTGCATAGTTTACTATACAGATTGAAGAGGAATGGACAACAGAGTAAAGTTTGGGATTTGGATGATGAGAATATCAAATGATAGCTGATGCTGTTTGTTTAGATGTCTGGGCTGATCTATTACTCCTGGAGTCAAGTTTACTGCTCTTACTGGTAAAATCTACTGCAGAATGTTTGCATCAAAGACCACCCAGTGCTCAGCCCCTGACCTTCATCTTCTGTGCTCACAAACAGAAGTAAAATAAAAAGAATCTTCCGGGCTAGTCTCTCTCTCTCTCTCTGTCTCTGTCTTTCTGTGTATGTGTCTGTCTCTGAATCTGTAT